GTGAACTTGTGCATCTTTGCTGTACACCTGCCTTGAATTTCCCACATGCATTTCAGGTGTACAGCAACGATGCACAAGTTCACTCCCTCATTTCCTAAATGGGTGTAGCCTCACTGTAAAGAAAGCAGTATGACATCCCTAGGCGCGCCGCGCACATCCATGCACACCAGTTTTGCAAGCTTAATTTTCTCGTGTTGTTTATTTAAACTTGAGCATGAACTTGTACAAAATGTAGCAAAATATTAAAAAAAAAAAAACAGTTTTATTGATTAAAAACACACTATCGGATTCATATCGTATCGGCAGAAATCCAAATTTATGATATCGGTATTGGACATAAAAAAGTGGTATCGTGCCATCTCTACTGCAGATACTTAAGGCTCAACAAAAACACCTGAAGACAAAGTGAAGATGCAAAGCCAGAGTCAGGAAACCCGAGTTTTAACTCTGCATGTCCCAGTCACAGATTTTGCCTATTCAATGTAGGATCTTAAAATAAAGTTTTAATGTTATAAAAGAAAAGTGATTTAGAAGAGACCAGATTGTATTCATGTACAAAAATGAGTTTCCTCATAAAAAGGAAAGAGCGAGCTTAACCTTTTATTCATCAAGTGAAGAACATCAGTATTTTAAGGGTAGACTAAAGTTTGAGTTAACTATGCATATAAATGGTGAAGTATTACAAGAGCAGAAAATGATTCAATACCTCTTCATGAATACGTATTTTAAGTATCAGTTAATAACTATGGTGGGGTGTTAAATATCGTACCATTGATTGGCAGTCTGCCTCAAATCCTCAAATTAAGACAGTATTCCTACTGCAACCCTGACAAAGGTTCTCTTTTTAATATCTTGATGTAAAATGATTTGTCATGCCCATCCATTTCATGGAGTTTGGCATTATTCAGCGCCTCCTCTGAGTCAGATTTCAGTTCTGGCATTCAGTGTTCTCTAGCCAAGTCAAAATGGTCCTCCAGAATAAAGTGCAAGATCAGATTTGTGTCATCTGACATGTGGCAGATGCATCTCCCCTCCAGCCTGTGTGTGGGTGTGTAGAATGCTGACACAGGAGGAGCTCTGTGACCAGTTAACTCAGCGAGTTTGCAGTTTCTGGATTGGTGCACTCGTTGTCTGCAGCCGACATCCCCCTCATCCCTCTCCTCACCTCTACTGCTCCCACTGAAGAGCCAGCATTCATTTCTCCGTTTTGTCCATACGACGGTTTTAAAGACAGACGTTAAAACGGTGACATCACCCACTGGGTTTCAACTCCACATTTTGGCACTACATCTGTAGTATTTCAGTTGCTGTCATGGTAGTTTGTTTGGTACCAGAAGTAACCACTCTTAGATCCGAGGGTGGCGTGCACTGTGGCAGTTGAACAGCAAGTTGGAGTCATAGTATGGTTGTGCTGATGGATGTTGTTAGTGACCAACAATGGTCAAAAATAATGTCAATTATATCAAGTGTTTGAGCCACATGTGTATAGCATAGCACCACAACAACCTCCTTTGCTGCCCAGCAGTGATGCTACTGGTGATGCCACAGTGGTACTGTACTACTGAGGTATCACCAGTATCTTGTAATTCTAATTAGTTCAAGATGCTAACACTAGTATTTCACTCTAAACACAACTTCATCACAAACTCTTGGACAGATTATTACACAGCAGCCAATTCTATTCTAAAATCCAGTTTTAAAGAACACAAGACTCTGGAAACTGCTTTTGGCACATCTGTGTCGGCTTAATGTTTTGGCCCTGGAGGTTGCAGCTGGGTTGTATTCATTAGATTTAATCAATTTGGGTCCTAAAAACAAACACTGACCTGGGTTCAACACATTCTCATAGTAAGTAAAAGGCAAGTTTTGACAGCAGTGTTGTGAGATTAAGCAAATAAGTGCTAAAAAGCTACACTGGTCAAAGGTCAGGTTTACTGATCAGAACACCATAAGAATTTAATCCTACATGGGTCGTTTAGTTTGAATCAGCATAACACCAAAACACTTTCCTGCCATGCTACCATACTTTAGTCAGACTCTAATCATCTGCTCCCATTAATAAATAACTGAAACAGGCTGGGTCACAAGGACCATATTCAGTTAAGAATTGTGTCAGAGTGCATGTTGCAAATTAGTGTGTGGTGTTTTTTCTTACCTGGCAGTCAACGTCATCATCACACACCCAGCTAGCCGGGATGCATGAAGAGTTTCCACACTGGAACTCACTGGGCCCGCAGGAGGACGGCGCGCACTCCACCTCATCCGAGCCATCGCCGCAGTCATCCTCGCTATTACACACAAAGTTCCGGGAGATGCAGCGTCCACTGGCACATGTAAACTCATTTGGGGCACATGTGATGTTTCCTGGAGAGGGTTATGGGAAAAATGTGAGTGTGCTGTGAAAGGACTGACAGCACAGAATTTTTAATGCAGTAACAGTAATAAGACATTTTTTTTAAAGCTAGAATTTATTTATGACCTCTGTTTACTGTTATTACAGCTTAAAAACAATAAGCTAAACTTAATAAGTTTCAAGCTTCAGCCTTATTTGGTTTCCCTGAACAAGCAGCAGAGGACATGTCTCAGATTAACAAGCACAATGCCACGCTTCAGCACTTCAAAACATTTGTCACATGAACACACAGGCCGAGTCCTGAAAAGTTCACACAGGGCAGAACTGAGTCAACAACTTGCTGTGTGCCTGTTAACGACTTCCATCCAAAATATTCAATATTTAAAATACTGCGTTTTGTGTTTACAAGTCCAGCTTGATGACCAGTTCGCAGCCATTTTTAAAACCTCAACCGCAAAACCCATCATGTGTGCACCTCTCTGCTTTCTCCAATAACACCAGTATTAGTTTAGTGCAACGACTGGAAGCAACTGGAAGCTCCAAGAATGCGCGAGACATTGAGGTTGCAAGACTTTGATTTACACTGTATTGTGGCAGTTCACCGTCTAAGCACGCTACACTGCAGTAAATCATCTCAGCACACAGTTCAAGGACAACAGGGGTGCAGACTCAACAGGAACAAACAATTAACCGTAGCTGAGCATTGAGTGTTTTCAGCTGCTTCAGAGCTGATACTAAGCAGTATTTAAACAATGATATATGTATAGTGTCACACATTAGTGCTAATGCTCAAAATTGGCACCTTTTAGACAACAGGAGTCATGCACACACAAATGTGGAAAACCAATTATTAAAATCTTCCAAGATATGATGGCTTAAAAGTACGCAAGCCATTTTAATGTGTATGCGAAGTAATCATTTGCCCTAATTAAAAATCTAAATGTCTACAGGGTGCTTCACTGTCAGATTGTGTTATCATTCAGACCGGGCTGTGCAGGAAAAGCCGTTAGTGTGTTTATGCAAAAATTTAGGATAAACAGCTGGAGGAGGCAAACTGATACCAGCGATTAGAATCAGTTTTAGTACTTCAATAAAAGCTGGAAACCAAATGCTACAAGTAATAAGCAGTACTTTGAACACTTCTGAAACACTTAAACACACCAAGAACTTATGTGCACTTGTGATATTAATGAGATGGCAAAGAAAACTGCTCAGCTGCAGCTCTAAAGGAGACTTCAAATGGCTTCACAGTGATTGTCTCAATTCATTAAGTCCACGGCAGCATTTCTGCAGCTCCCAGCATCACGGTGCTCATCAATGAACAGCAAACATGAGAAATGAAGATGTCACTGCTTAGCTGTGACAAACTACACGACGAGTGTTTGATGGCAACCTGGGAATGTTTTTAATCCCAAAGGATTTCAAGAACACTGAACAATATCCTCATCACTTTTAGTGAATTTAGAAATGAATAGCCAGTTTTTGAAATCAACTGAAGTCATGTGCATGGCAAGCCAAACAGCGTCCACCTACCACAGTTGACCTCGTCCTCGCCGCTGTCGCAGTCCTTCTCACCGTCACATTTCCAGAAGACTGGGATACACTGGGTGGAGCCGGCGCCACAGCTAAACTCATTCATCCGGCATGTCCTCATGTCTGTATGGAAAGAAAACAAACAGATCTTAAACATTTTCAAAAAATGACATATAGAACATATAAAAGAACATAAAAATATCTAACATATTTTGTGTTTTGTAAATTACATGTTTTCTCCCTTTACCAACACAGGAAATCAAAAAGACAGAACAGCAGAGATGTTTGGCGTTCTGTTGCAGTCACTAAAAAGGCCAAAATGTACCACTAAGAGTCCAGCTGACTGCTGGTGCTGTTCCAATGAATGATGTATTCTACGGGGATATTAAAAAGGACCAATTTAAGCTGAGACGGCTCAACTGTCTGCATGCTTTTGTAAGCAGAGGTAAGAATGTAAAACTCCTTTACATGGGTTTAGGAAACGATGCACATCATGTTCACATGATGAACAAAAACACAGTATCATCTAAAGGCTGCAGCGACTCCGTTACCTTTTAGGTTCATTCGTGGCGGCTCCAATGACAGTAACTGACATTTTGTGAGAGATGGAGGGCTTGGGACAACGTTATGCTGCACTGAGGTGCGACTGAAAACAAAGTCAGATGTTCACAACACCTCAAGAACCATACAACTGCAAGCTGTTACATAATCCATTTAGCTGGAACAGCAACAGCTTTGATGCAGCAAAATCGTATTTATACAGTGTTGAGATTCCTTTCATGTTTACGGTGCAAATATTTTCCCAGTTAATCTGTCAGAATATACATGATCTTTTCCATTGTCTTGGGTTTAGTTTTAGCATTGTCAACTTTCTTGATCATGTACTTTATTTTAAAACCCAGCTACTAATACAATACAATCCCCTTTATGGCCAGAAAAGGGGTTAAATTCCATCTCCAGAAATGCGACTCAGAATTCTACCGAACTATCAGGAAGCCCCTTTTTCCTCCTCCAGGGTACATATTCCCCTAACAATACTTTCTTTCATAAAATTTCAGCTTCAAGATCAAGTTTGCTTCTTATCCCTTCATCTCACACTGGAGATAAGCAGCATGCACATAAAACTGGCTGTGCAGTGATAAGAGCTGCTCGGTGGAGCAGCAGATTGAGGTGAACACAAGAGTGATTCACAGATGTATGAATTATTGACTATGAGAATTGTAGTTTGGGTGATAAGCCAGGCTGGTGATATACTGACATAATTCTGAACACAGTTTGGTCTCTCAGCTGTACACTGTAATGACAGTGCACAGGAGCCAGTGTGCGCACTAACACTTATCCCCATCACTGACTAGTTGATTTTGCAGTCTCCTCTTCACTCTTAAGGATATGGGGTGAAAAGTTCCAGTTCAGCCATTAATCAGTAGAGTACAAGTTTCTGCATAGTCTGTACACTGCACGCGCACACAAAGTACTTGAGCAGGCTGGTTTGATGCCTGCATCAGAATGAAGGTTATTTCACTGAATGGCATGCTTGTTGGTGCCAGACAGGCTGACCTGAGCCTTTCAGAAACCGCTGATATGCTGGGATTTTGTTACCCGTCTTTAGTCACGTTATTCAGCTCCTGCTCAAACTGTATGATTGACTCGCAGGGGTTAGAAGTTCCTAATTCACGATGCAGGGTCTCACACTATACAGCCTGATGCTCTGATGTGACCCAAGCGCTCACTGTGCATCCATAACATGAAGGTTATAACAAAATTGTCTCTCGCTCTGTGAGTGACACACAGACCACCGCCATCAACTTTGCTAAATTGCTAATGAAAAGCATTGATCAGGCAGCTGTGATTGAGCAGCAATGTCCATCCAACTATTTTCACGGTTGTTGTGGTCGTGATAATTTTGTGAGGCCACATCAAAAAGGCTCAGATGAGATTGCCAAAGTTCTACAAGTTGTGCTTTCATCGCTTGTGTCCAGATCACACGCTGCACTGCTGTGCTGCTCCGTCTTTTCACTTTCATTTCTGTGTTTGCTCATGCGCAGTGTGACAGGCTGCGGTGACACCCTCACGATGGCCAACAGGATTTCAAACAGGTTTGATTTTCTTATGACCAAGCGATTGATGATCGGGAGCTGGTCGTGAGGTGTTAATCGCTTCTCGTTACCCCATGCATACTACACGATGCACGACACACGATGAAGGCGAAACTCGGGCCGATCCCCAAAACGGTCGCACGACTGAAAAATCGGCTCAAAATGGGCCAAAAAATAAATAAATAAATAAATAAATAATCGCACAGTGTATGCCAAGCTTAACAAGACCAAGAAATTAACTACTTGCACCACTGGGAACTAGTTCTTGTAGAGAACTGCTTCTCTATTCCCATCCCTATCCAACCAGGTACTAGCAAGGTATACAAAAATTAAGTGACTGAAGAAGTCAAATTTGAGTTAGCAGTTGGGAAAGTCCAGCAAACTACAATTAAGCTTAACAAAATTTGTATCATGGCATTTTAAGATTCTGGTAGTTTCACAGCAAATGACATTAACATTTCTCATTAACATTTTTGCCTAAGGAGGCCTTTATAGGGGCTTACAAAGGCTCATTCATCTCCCTTTGGACTAGAAATAAAAATAAATAAATAATTTGTCTATTTAAACTAGTGATGTTTCCACAGTGAAGCTGGCTTTGAAAGAAACTCCATTTGGACCCTTCCTTCCAACCTTCGTGGCAAATGACTGCCTCCAGGTAAAACCTCCATTGCCTGAAAATTCTTCATATTTTATTAACTCTGTAAAGTCTGAACTATGAAAAACCAAACTCTTGTTTTGAATCCAACTGGACTTTTTATGGAATCTTCTGAGGAAAGAAAAGTCTTGAAAACTGAAACACTCATGTACACATCTGTTGGCTTAATCTTAATTCTGTGATTAAATCAAAGACCAAACGGCAGCTCTGTGTCATCCATTTTTCTTTACCGATCTTGAACGTAGCTCTGAGCCCTTCCAAGCTAACATACACATGCAGTTTCCCCTCAATACACTGATAAGTGCTCCCAGTAACCAATTACGTAGAATCTGAAATGAAATTGAGACTGGTATATCAATTACACCACAAGATTAAATACATGTTAACATTGTTTAAAGGAAGCAAGCTTTAAATTATTAATCTTATTTAATGCTACTTCCAATCATGAACACTTTCCAAGCCTCGAGTTTACACCAATTTAAATTTCTTTCACTAGCCACAAAAACTGACACTTGAGACAAAGCAAACATGGAATAAGCCTGCCAAGAGCCACATAGTGAAACTTGGCCTGTTCTGCAAGTTCTGTTTATCAAGAGGTCTCAAGTCTTTTTGTACAGGAAAATAAACTGAAATAATTTCCAGAAATGCAACTGTAGTACAAAAGTCCTTCATGCAAATATGAATGAGAAACAGGCATGTAGCCACTCATAGACAACGTCACTCTGTTGCCTGCTGTAAAGTCATGAGCAACAGCTGGTCAAACAGTACAGAGATAACTGCTACAGTAACAGTGTTGACTGGCACGTACACCACTGTAGTTATGACTGGAACTTCTCTCACACAGACTGATATCCCTTTCAAGACCTTCAGTTGACCGAGACACTTTTCCAAGTGAAAAATGAGACATGCACTACAAGCTTTTGTAGAGCATAAACCCTACAAAAGCTCAAGCTGATTTCAGAAAAAAAAAAA